AATTTCTGTCAGAGAGAATTATGTCATGGTGCTCTTTTTCTCACAGACGATGCCCAACTGGCCCTATTATACTGTGCAGTCGACTAAATAAAAAAACCAACATGTATGCGCAAAATTAAAAATATAAAATGGCAACAATTTACCCACCGCACTAATATATATATATATATATATATACACAGTGCTGTTTGATAAAAGTGACTCACCTGATTTTTTTTTACTAAATGTTCTCTTCTCTGATGAAATGAAAGTTGAGCTAAATTCAAAGGTTAAGTGATCTAAAATCCAAAGAATCTTTGAAAGCTCTTTGAATTTAGCAGTAAGTACTGTCAAGCATTCGTTCAGAATAAACTTCTGGGGATGCTTTTCTTTTCATGTAACTGGTTTCTTAAAACCTATTGAAAAGATCCTCAGGAGCGAGCAGTACAAGAGAACTTTAGAGTCTTGTCTGCTCCCTTTTGCTGAAATAGTGCAAATCGACCCCACCAAGCTCATTTTTATGCAGGATAATGCTCCCTGTCACAAATAAAAATTGATGACGGAATACTTTGATGAGAAGCAGGTGAGTGTTATGACATGGCCGCCCCAATCTCCTGACCTCAACCCCATAGAAAACTTATGGAGCATTATAAATAAAGTACAGGCTCTCGAGAAAGCAGTTGAGCAACAAAAAGGATTTGATTGTGAATTTCATATCTGAATGGAATTCAATGCTTGGAGATGAGATTTGCCAGAACCTAATCAAGTCAATGCCAAAAAGGTTTGAAAAGGTTATTCAAAATAAAGGAGGACCCATAGATTATTAAATATTTCAAACTATATTACCTATTATAAATAAATTATACTTCTATTATTCTTTATTTAAAGCTGTTCGGTTATCTTTCTATTGATTACTAATTGCAGGAAATAAGTGAGTCACTTTTTTTTGCACAGTTTTTCCCTAAATCTCCCAAAATTAGAATACCTTAGGGTGAGTAAACTTTTTTACTAGGTGGTCAGGAAGGGGTCTTTATATTAGTAAGATTAAAAATTAGTTTGACCCCTAAAACAATAGGCAAAAAAATGTTTAAGTAAAAAAAATCAGGTGAGTTGCTTTTTATCAAACAGCACTGTGTGTGTGTGTGTATATATATATATATATATATATATATATATATATATATATATATATATATATATATATACACACACACACACACACATAGAGAAAAAAAATCTGCACCCATAATAATGAAAAAAGCCTTTTACACAAAAAGTATTTATTTTTTAATTCAATCTTCTTTTTTGTCAATGTACTTAATCTAGTGTTTCTTCATTCTTCAATCCAAAGCAATTTCTAAACTCCAATACACAAGGTTTCAGGATGATTCAAATTGCAAACAGACATATGCTGACAGATTTAAGTGAAAATATAGCTTACAAAATGACAGCACTTCAAAGTGTATAGTTTGAGAGAATGATGGTGATTGTGATTCATTTGATTTTTTTACAGTTTATCAACCTTTTGTAGTTTATTTAAAGCTGAAACTTATTTTGGATTAATGTTTTGAGAATAATGATTTATTTTCAGAATAAAAGCCCTACTATTTAACCTATAGCTGCTAAGGATAGGAGATGGATTCATACCTTTCTCAAGAGTATTTGCATGTAAGGGAATATAATGAACCCAACTGGAATTGAAACTCATCTCTCTGAGTTCTCATTCTTATCTGCTTTCCATTAAGCTACACACACATCCTGGAATGACAGACTCTCAAAGATAAGAGATATAACTTCAGTAAACACTGGAGACTTCATTGTTTCTGATTCAGGTTTTGGAACAAGACTCCAAACTCATAGTGTTGTCTCAAAACTGTAAGAGATGAATAAATTTAAAATATGACATGGCTGATAATCTTTCAGGGGAATTAATAGCGAATTATGGAAAAATGGAACAGTCTATTCTGTTAACTTAGGTTGCTAGCAATGCAGTGAATGGTTTATAAAAGTTTTAGGAATTTACCTTACAACATTTGAATATTATAAGTTTGTGCGGAAAAGGGTTGAAAGTTTTGTGGGCCACCAGGAATCTCTTCTCACCACTGTCAAATGGAGAAAAATGGCATGGTTTGGACATGTTACAAGGCACAACAGCCTGTGCAAGACCATCATGCAAGCTACCGTTGATGGTGGATGTAGGTGAGGACGCCAACGCAAAACTGGTTGGACAATGTCAAACAATGGACAAGTATGACTGTATCAGAATTTCTGATGGTTGCTATTGATTGACTGTTGTGGAGGAGATTCAGTGTGGCTTCTGCATTTAGATCCCCCCTGTGATTACAAAAGTCAAGGGGATGATGATGATGATTTGAATATTATAAAGATGTAAACAGATTGTCTTCATTGTAATAGTTGGCAGAACAAGGATTAGGAGAGATAGCAAAAAAAAAAAAGTGGTAGGGATGGCTACAAAGGGCAGGATATTGTTTTAAGCCATGATCACCCACATCCTGAAGAAGATGGAAATAGTATTGGGTTGGCAACTAATTTCCCACTGTTTTTTTAAATTTTTTAAAAGGTTTAATAAAAAATAACAACTAATTAATCAATAATGTATTCTCCCTTGTTGTTTACAACTTCTTTCCAACATTCAACAAGATTTTCAATACCTTTAATACCCAGTTTTAACTCAAAAAATTCATCCAACCAAGCTCTCAATTCTGCATCCATATTGAACGTAAACTCTGCACATAGCATTTGAAAGAGAACTCCATGCTGCCAATTAGGTCTTTTCTCTTGAACAGCCGTGTTGAGTTGTTCTATCTGTTGAACATAGTTCTGCATTGACCGTTTGGTTCCGTTCATAATTGATAAACCCTTCCCAGTCCCACCATATGCACAACATCATTTTATGCGGATGAAGATCTTGTTTCACATGCACTGTTGCTTGTTTACCAGGGCTAAGTCATTCCTTACGCTGCTTCATATTGATGTGCAGGCACCATTTTTCATCGCCATTAATGATTCGATAAAGAAATCGTTGCTTGTGTCCATGAGTTGAGCGGTGATGAGGAAGCAAACCAACAGAGATTGTGGCTTGATTTTTGTTGTTGTCACTTAAAGCATGTGGAACCCATGCTCCACACTTCTGAGTGAAGATCCTTCTCTATAACAGTATGGGAGCATTCCATTTTCTCTGCCAGTTCCTTTGTCGTTTGATGAGAATTTTTGTGCAAAAGTTGGTTTAATTGTTCTTTATGGAACTCAACTGGACTGCCAGAATGAGGTGTGTCTTTGAGGTCAAAATTTCCATTTTCGAACTTGGCATACTAATCACAAGCAGTTCTTTCACAGCACAAATGTTATGAGCAGTTTTTGCAACCTTAGAACCTTGATTAAAAGCAAAACGGAGGAGGTGTCGAAAATACTCATTTTTTTTTTAACTTGACATTCCATTTTAATGATCTGAAAATAAACAGAAATTAACTTAAATTAACTTGAAAAAAAAAAAAAAGATTACAAAATGATTCCAAAATAGAATTCTTGAAGGAATTCTAATTGTATGACAACTCTTCTCATTGTTCTGACAAAGAAAGCTCAAAGGATTCCACCACAAGCATGACATTGGTTTTGGGAAGTGGGAAATTTTTTATCTTTGCTTACAAATACATGTGTGGCTCTCTCTATTAAACTAATTTTGTGGTCATATATGCCTTTGTGGGGAGACAAATACTAGAATCAGCTTTAATGTGACAATAGCCATTTGCATGAGGTGCTGGAAGTAATTGTAAAGTAACTAATAAACTTTTTATTTGTATTCCTTAGGTTTTTTTTTTTTTTTTTTTAACTTATATTTGATGCAGGCTTTTCTGTTTAACTGTTACATATGGCATCACTTTGAACTGATTCCAATTCCAGCAATCTAAAAATGCCAGGATTTATTCAAAGAAATATTGTTTACTATACTGACAACACCTGGTTCTTAGTAATGACTGAGATAGTGGAAAGTACATGAACAAAACTGGAAAAAAACATGAACTTTGGACAATTTATTCATAATTTCAATCCTGATATATAATATTTCATTTGGAAATTGGAAAAATATAATAAAAACTTAGACTTCATCAGTTGCATTTAACAAAACTTGTTTGAATTAATTATTGCTGCCTAAATATACCTTATTTATATTGAAAAGGTTATTTTTCTGGTCCTGGTAAAATAGACAAATATGCTTTTAAGCTTATTTTACCATTCTTGGTAAAATAGACTCCCAGGTTATTTTGCCGGTAAATATTTCTATTATTATGAAGGCAGGTAATGTTAAAAATAACAACACACAGATTTAACACAGAAGTTTATTTTCGCCATCAATTGTTAAGACAATTTAAAATCTTTTCCAACATCAATTGTTAAAACACAAGTTCAAATCATTTATTCATCATTAATTATTAAAAGAAATATAGAAGTTTGAATATATTAAGCACTTGAGGCAGAACAGTCTCTGTAAATCCAGAACTTGCCCTTAGGCATGGTTCTCTTGCCAATACACTTGAGGTGTACCCACTGAAGACAACAGTCACAGGCCACAGAATCTCTGTTGTTCAAGTCCTGTCTACAAAGCTCACACAACCACTGTGTTGGCGATCTCAAATAAAATATATTCTTAGTTCTAAAACACTATATTTACCGTCAAAATAGCCTTGGTGTCTATTCTACCAGGATCAGCAAAATAACCAATTTGTATTTATATTTATAAATGTATGAAGAGCTTTAGAAATATATCACAAGATCATTATAGACAAACATTTACATGACTTGTTTTTATTTACGCAAGCAAATCATTATTAGAATTTTCACTGCAATGTTGGAAGAATAAATTTTATGTCATATGTATTTATGATATTTTTTAGAAAAATAAATCTCATATGAGTGGTTTATTATGAAAATTGTTTCCATGTTTGTTTTCTTTGTTTTTTTTTTTTTCTTATCTCTTATTAATTTGCTTTCTCTTGTAATAGAATGAACTATGTGCTGCCACTCAAAGTCTTGCACAGCAGTTGCGATCATATGAACTTCAGGTAAGTATTTTAAACTAACATTGCTTTAAGACTGGGTATAGCATGAGTTGAAACTTAGCATTTAACCATTTTGCCAAATGCAAGTAACTGCCCAATTCCTTTTGTTTAGTAGGTAAATGCTACAGTGTCAAGTAATATTACTTGACACTGGACCATTTGCCTAAATGCCAATATCAAGTAATACTACTTGACATTACCTACTAAACAAAAGGAATTGAACAGAAAATAAAACTTTTTTCTTATACATATATATAGTTCTTTCTTGTATATATACCCTGTCTAAAGTTATTAAAAAATTCATATTAGCTTCAATAATACAAATTTGGTTTGAAAAAAATTGTCAAATTTTAAAAATCAATTTAGATGTCACAAAGCCCGAGTTAAAATTTTAAGTGGTATCAATATGTTTTATTGAAGTTATTTGATGTATTCTAAAAAATGCTGTCTGAAGTTATTAGGCAAAACCAAGTAATCCCATTTTACTTCAATAAAAATTGAATAAAATCATCAAAAACGGATTAACACCTATAATAGAGCAAATAACAAACACATATAAGTTTTTGAATCCTTTACATTTTAATATAGTGACGCTTCTTCTCAATAACAGCCAGCAATCTATTATCCATTGATTTTGATAATTTGTTTTACTTCAGCAGGTTCATTTTCCGACATGGTAGTTTTAATTGCTTCCCATAGGTCTGCTTTGCTGTTATATTGTTTGCCACATTCATATAATTTCATTTTCACAATTAACAATAGATTTTTGATTGGATTCAGATCAGGACTTGATAGTGGCCATTCCATTATCTTCTCTCCTGTAAATCTTTTATGCTCAAGGAATTCAAGGGTAAGCTTAGATACAAGAGAAGGAGCATTGTTGTGCATAAATACACACTTCACTTTGAAACTGCGAGACTTGGACTTGTACCATGCAAAGAAAGTCTTGTTCAGAAAATTGAAATTGTTAGCACTGTTCAGTTTAACTCCTTCATCAACTTTAAATGGTTCAATAATGGTTTGGTTGACAATTCCAGTCCATAGAATATCACTACCACCTCCTTGTTGCCTTCTTTTAGCCACAGGCATGTCTGAATTGGATAAAAACCATCCTTTGCCCCATCCATCTTGTCCATCAAATGCCACTTGAGACTCGTCTGTGAAAATTACTTTAGAAAAGTCAATTTTCATGTATTTCTTGGCCCAATTTTGATGCTTTAAAATATTTGCTTTAGTGAGAGGAGGTTGCTGAGGAGATTTTGATTTTTTACAGATCTTAATTCACAAAGTATTCTATACCCTTTGTCTTTCTTCACTCCCTCGATTCCAACCTTTTTTAAAGATCTGAGCATTGGTCAAAAATCATTGTTTCACTATAACTCACTTTAGTTTACATTCATCTTGAGGAAGCAAGTTCTTAAACCCTCTTTCTTTGCTTCAAGTTCTCAACTTACTTATATTTTCAACAGCCTTCTTTATCATTTGATGATCTCTGCAAAGCTCCTTTTATATCTCCAATGAGGACATTCCCCCTCTCAATAACTTTGTTATTTTCTGATTTTAAGCAGTTATTACATCCTTCTCTTTACCCAGCAACATATATAATGGACAAAAAGAAAAAGTAGGTTTTATTAGATTTCAGAGGTCTTATGCTAATATTAATTAATATTTAAATCTGCATATTAACTTCAGTTTGTCCAATTTTGTAAATTCTAAATAACTCAAAAACTAATCATTAAGAATGTCAGAAAATTTAATTAAATATTTTACTAAGGATGGAAATGAATGAGTTTAAATTTGACAAATATTGATTCAGAACTTTTTGAGTTATTGAGGTTTATTTGATTTGCATGATAACTTCAGACAGGCTGTAATAAATGCTGATGTCAGTGAGTCACTGAGTTACACTTTTTCAACTTTACTCCTAGAGGCCATAGCCCAGCATATCACACCATTTTGGTATCAGGCTGACTCTGTGAGCAAATTGAAACCCTTCCAGGCTAGATCCGGACCCGCAATCCTGAAATTTTGAATTCCCAAATTTTCATTACTGCAGTTGTTTTCAGCGACTTATGTTTTTTTGCAACAAATTTTTTGTAAAATAACAATTTTTATAACTTATAAATAAATTCGGGAACAATCAAAATTAATAACTGTGAAATCCAGCAAAAGTCACCCATGAAATAAAAATAATTGTTTGTACGGAAAGTAAGGCCCTATGTACATCAAATTGTCTTTAAATCAAGTGGCAGCAGGAGAATTATTGTTGAACTTTTAAAAGTGAGCTTAAATATTAATGCAATACTTAAATGCAGCCTTCAATTTTGAGAACTTCTGTAGTTTATTAGTGCCTAGTGCATCTACTTCTCCCTACCTATTGTTATGAAGGCTCAATCAAGAGCCGTCCATAGGGGCTATCTTAAATGTCAACTAAGAGGGCAGCTTTTATATATCCAGTTAAGATGAGAACGAATAGAGTAGAATTCCAACATTCGTAACATTTAATTTAATCAAAATATGACTGCAATTGTGTAGTGATTTTTTGTTTTCAATTTAATATCCTAAAGTAAAATATATATTTTTTTATATATATTTTTCTTTGTGTGTGTGTATATATATATATATATATATATATATATATATATATATATATATATATATATATAGGGTGTATCAATATTTTTACAATCTTTGTGGGCAGGTTCCTTGCATCAAAACAAGGACAAAAGTCCATATAAAAATATGTCTGCAAATCTTTTTGTTTCTGATTTATTAAGCTTAAAGGGAGTTTGCAGTAGATGGCACTCTGTTGCTATGTAGACTAATTTACATTTTTGATTCATGTACATTTGTGGTTAGTTTGTCTTCAATGTTTAACGTGTGTAGTAGTGAGTTAACTGAGAAGTGTTCTGTTTAACCAGGATATTTATATCATGAGCAGGCAGAGATGATTTTTACATACAGCTTGAATGGTAATGGACACAAGGCTTTCTTGAAATATAATAACTCAAAAATGAAGGATTTGTGGACATATGTTTATATGGACTTTTGTGCTTGTTTTGTTGTGTGAAACCTGCCCCCAAAGTTTGGAAAAGTATTTTTGACACACCCTGTATATTTTTTCTTGTATATTTTTCTTATATATATTAGAATAACAAGTTCTCCATGTTCTAAAACATCAAATTCCATGTTCTTCTGTGGCGGTAAATTTCAATTTTCTGTTTTTGTTTCAAAATTATAAAAACGTGAATTAATAGATACTTGTGTGTAAACAGTAAAATATACATATATATAAACTACTTATATGTCCAAGAAAGTCATGTGGCCTTCAATGCCGCCATTAAATTTCAATATTAGGATCCGCTTGGTATGTTCATCTGTCAACATTTCCCGCCAACAGAGGAGGTTATTGTACTGGAAGAATTAGCGCTCACAATCCATGGATTTGATCTTTGTCCATATCAAATCCATAGTTACTTTATGCTAATTGGGAATGCAATGAGTCCTGCATTGCCAGTACACATACAAATCCAGGTTGTTTGGTAACTCCTTGTCCTTTTTGGCAAACTTTTCTGCTGCAATGTAAACATCCCACTCATCCCATAATTCATGGGCATCCTGGGTATGACGATAAACTACATCCAACAGCAAGGCCTCTGATCAGGAGGCTTTGAGGAGTGTGGAACCACCTCTTAATTGCTGGTGTTCCCAAGTCCACCCTGACCCAATGTGGTAGCACCTGTTACGGTCCCAGCTATGGGCAATTAGTTAACTCCGAAACTGAGGTAAAAAGCATTATAAAAGTGTCAAAATAGGTTTTAATATCAGAAATGCTTTGTAAAAAATTATTACCAGAAATGAATTTTTGAAGAAGAAAAAATATTACCAGCAATATGTTTTTGAAAAAATAATATTACCAGCGATAATTTTTTTGAAAAAAATAATATTACCAGCGATACGTTTTTGAAAAAATAATATTACCAGCTATACGTTTTTGAAAAAAAAACTGTTACCAGCAATACGTTTTTGTAAAAATAATATTACCAGCTATACATTTTTGAGGAAAAAAAATATTAACAGAAATAGATTTTTGACAAAACAAAAATATTACCAGGAAAAAAAAAGTTGTCGGCATTAAATGTCCCATTGAGGTTGATATGCTGTAAAACAAAACAAAACCATAATTCATAGGTGGGAGTTTCAAGTCCTGTGAGAGCTGAGTAAGAACCAATGTCAGTGGAAATCAAAAATCCTTTACAATTCATAAAACTGCATTGCCTGGCTGTTATCTGCTTGTTTTGACACTTTCCAAAAAGCCAGTTGGAAGCTATCATTGAAGTGTTCAATTGCATTATTTTTTTTCTTTTTAGCAATGTTTGTTCAAACAAACATTGCTTTTTCCCCCCAATGTTAGCTTTTGATGCATCTTTCAAGAGATAAGTGATTATGTTGCCAATTTTTTTATACATCACTGGCACAAATGGCTCATTTCCCTCCAATTAGTCAATGTAAGCTGGATCCTAGGGCACTGATTCTGCTATGAATTTCATTTTCAAAAGCAAGTCTATTTTCCAATCAGTGAGTGCTTTTCTAACTCTCTTTACATTTTGCACATCACTTGTTTCAGACTTAAAAAAGATTCATATGCATCCAGGTGTGTACAATGGTATTCCACAGCTTTGAAGTACGTCCCCCAGTGTGTTTGAATTGGCTCAGGGTGGGGGTAAATTTGCTGGTTGGACATTTCAATATTTTCAAGTGATCAATATAATGGCGGTGACGTTTTAGCTGATGTTTGAACAAAAACATCAACTTCATGAAAATACATGTCCTTCACAAGATCTTCCCTGACAAGATTGAGTATGTGTGCCATGCACTCGATGTGTATGGCATTGGGTAATATATTTTTTAGAATTGCAAATGCACTCATGCAATATGCAGTTTAATCAGTCACAAAACAGCAGACATTATTATAGTCTATTCCAACATTTGACAGTATTTTC